CAAGCACTCTACCACTGAGCCACCTTCCTAGCCCCCACTTCTGACCTTTTGATGCTTATTTGGAGATAAGAGTCTCTCGGACTTTCCTGCCAGGGCTGGCTTTGAACTGAGATCCTCAGATCTCAGCCTCCTGAGTAGCTAGGATTACAGGCGTGAGCCACTGGCGCATTGAGTCTCAATGCTTCCATCTCTACCTCCTGAGCAGGCAGGCAGGATTACAGGTGTGAGCCACCAACACTAGTCTCAGTTGTTGTCTTTTTTTTTTTTTTTGGTCAATCCTGGGGCTTGAACTTAGCACCTGGACACTGTCTTTGAGTTTATTTGCCCAAGTCTAGCACTCTACCACTTGAACCCCAGCAACACTTCCAGCATTTTCTGTTTATGTGGTACTGAGGAATCAAACCCAGGGCTTCGGGCATGCTGTGCAAGCACTCTACCACTAAACCATATTCCCAGTCCTCTCAGTTTTTATTCTTTTCCTAGGTACACATCCTCTTCCTAGACCCTACTGGCCCACAGAGTCTATTTCTTTTCCTCTCGTTCCCCTACTGATTATCAGCTTTGCTGCGTTTCTCTGTGCTGCTCTCATATATACCTGCAATGTGTAACAGTTATTCACCCTCTTTCTTTTTTCATTCTCCCTGCTTCTTCTGAATAATCTCTTAGCTTGATTCATGTTCTGTGTTTAACCATCTAAGTCATTATATGTATGGATATTTTATTTATGTACATTCCATGAATATGAATGTCTAGCTTTTGTTGCTTAAGGCTAATAACACTTTATCACTTGAGTCACACCTCCACTTCTGGCTTTGTGGTGATTAACTGGAAATAAAAATCTCATGGACTTTCCTGCCTGGGCTGGCTTCTAACTGAGATCTGAGGATCTCAACCTCCTAAGTAGCTAAGATTGCAGGCATAAGCCATGGGTGACTGGCTGTAGAATATCTATGTAGTGAAGACAATAAGAAGCCTAACTATAAAACTGGTGCTGGGCATAGGTGGCTCATACCTGTAATCCTAGCTATTCAGGAGGCTGAGATCTAAGGATCATGGTTTGAAGCCAGGCTGGGCAGAAAAAGTCCCCAGGAGATTCTTATCTCCAATTAATCACTCAAAAACCAGAAGTGGTACTGTGGCTCAAGTGGCAGAGTTCTAGCCTCGAGTACAAAGAGACTTAGGGACAGCACCCAGGCCCTCCCTGAGTTCAAGCCCCACAACTGACCAAAAAAAAAAGGAACTAGAAAGGACTGGACATGTTGCTCAAGTGGTAGAGCACCTGTCTAACAAACATGACTTGAGTTCCATCCCCAGTACAGCTAATAAAAGAGGGAAAATAGCCAGGTGCCAGTGGCTCACACCTGTAATCCTAGCTACTCAGGAGACTGAGATCTGAGGATCCAGGTTCAAAGCTAGCCCAGTCAGGAAAGTCCATGAGACTCTTATTTCCAATAAACCATTGAGAAAACCAGAAGTGGTGCTATGGCTCAAGTGGTAGAGCACTAGCCTTGAGCTAAAGAGCTGATGGACAGCACTCAGGCTCAGAGATCATGCCCCACAACCAACAACAACAAAAAAAAGAGGAGTAGGGGGAATAGTGGACTGAGGATAGATCTGGACATGAACAATATTTCAGACAAAAAGTTGTAAAACTAGAGAATTGGGAGTATATCACTTTAGCTTCTCAGTGAAGAGTAATATTCAACAACATGATTACAATTCAAAATAATCACTAAGAAATACTAACAGCAAAATTTCACAACAGGAAGTGGTTACTTTATAAAGATTAATAGCATACTAAAAATATAAGGGAAACTACATGCTAAGTCATACAACCTGGTTCTGGTAGCCTAATGCAACACTACCAACAATCACATATTTCTAATGCCGATAGGACCTAGGAAGAATGTTGAGCCACTAGCTCATGCCTGTAATCCTAGCTACTCAGGAAGCTGAGATCTAAGGATACTGGTTTGAAGCCAGCCCAAGCAGAAAAGTCCATGAAACTTCTATCTCCAGCTAACCACTAAAAAACTTGAAGTGGTGCTGTGGCTCAGAGTGGTAAAGTGCTAGCCTTGAGCAAAAGAGTTCCGAGACAGTGTCCAGGCCCCATGTTCAAGCCCCAAGATGGAAAAAGAGTAGTGTTAGATGGCTGGATGGTTGGAGTACTGCTTTATGATTAGAAAACACTGTGATCAGGCTGGTTGCTAGTGGCCTGTAATCCTAGCTACTCAGGAGGGCTGAGATCTGAAGATCACAGTTCAAAGCCAGCTCAGCAGGAAAGTCCATGAGACTCTTATCTCCAATAAACCACTAGAAAAATGGAAGTGGTGCTGTGGCTCAAGTGGTAGAGCGCTTGCCTTGAGCTGAAGAGCTGAGGGACAGTGCCCAGGCCCAGAGTTCAAGCCCCACAACCAACAGAGAAAAAAAAAAAAAAAGAATCTAGTGAACTTTTCTGCCTGAGCTGGCTTCAAACCACAACCCTCAGATCTCAGCCTCCAGAGTAGCTAGGATTACAAAGAGCTACTAGTACCTGGCCAACATCATTGTTTGAAATTCCATCTCAACTAATAAGGAGGGCACTGGTGGATTATAGGAATTGATGATCCTTGTCCTGGAAGACTTGCCAAACAGCTGTTATTTGGAATTAATGATGGTCCGGGAAGGAGGCTTCCAAAAGGGAAGCAGCCTCCACCTGGTCCTTGGGAACTAACTTCTTAAAGCTGCATAAAAGAATTTGAAGACCAAGAAAGTTCATTAGTAAAGCAAAGGAAAGGAAACAGTAAAAGATAGTGCACACATATACATGAGTGGAAGCATGTCTAATAGCAGGTGCAATGAGTGTTCTAACATCATGAGGATTTATAGTAGAAAAGTAGGTTGGGGTTTGGCTCATGTTTACCCTGGGATGTGTGCTCATTCTCCTTTGATCTGATACCTGGTATGGTTAATCATTCTTACTGTTAAACCGTTTATCAACTGGGCCCAGAGATTTCAGAGTTGAGTCATTATGACATAGATGTCTGAGCATCCCTTTGAACTTGGGCTAGGGAACATCCAGCCCAAGGGCCCAAAAAAGCCCTCAAAATCACTTGGTACAGGATGGGACAGACACGACATATTTGCTTCTTTTTTTTTGGGGGGGGGACCGGTTATGGGGCTTGAACCCTGGGCCTGGGCACTGTCCCTCAGCTCTTCAGCTCAAGGCTAGCACTCTACAGTGCCACTCTGTTTTTCTGGTGGTTAATTGGAGCTAAGAGTCCTACTGACTTTCCTGCAGGGGCTGGCTTTGAGCTGTAATCCTCAGATCTCAGCCTCCTGAGTAGCTAGGATTACAGGTGTGAGTCACCAGTGCCCAGCAGGTGTCCATTCTTTTCATTTTTTTTTTTTTTGTTGTTGTTGTTGGTGGTGGTGGTGGTCATGGGGCCTGAACTCTGGGTCTGGGCGCTGTCCCTCAGCTCTTCAGCTCAAGGCTAGTGTTCTACCACTTGAGCCACAGCGCCACTTCCAGCTTTTTCTGCTTATGTGGTGCTGAGGAATCGAACCCAGGGCCTCGTGCATGCAAGGCAAGTACTCTGCCACTGAGCCACTTTCCCAGCCCTTTCCCACTTAAAAAAAAAGTCTTTTGTGTTGCTGTTTACTGCTAATAGTGTCTGGGTTCTGATTAGTGGGTCTCTCTTCTGTTTTCTGTAAGGACATGTGCCACCGATTTAGCACCCTGTCCTAATTTCTTCATTTTTTAGTCCTTACTTGCTCATTCTTTTGTAGCCCTTCACCCCCTATTTCATGGCTGGGTTTGGTTCATCAGCTTATCCTGCCACTTTCAAGTTTTATAGGCCACAATTCCTTGACTGGTTGTTTTTCTACTAACTTCTATGATGGTCCACGGCTGGTCCTGGGCAGAAATTCAAGACCCTTCTTGAAAAATAACTAAAGAAAAAAAAAGATAAAAGACTGGCATGTATCTTACATGATAGAACTCCTACCTAGTTTTTTTTTTTTTTTGGGGGTCAGGTTGTGGGCCTGAACTCTGGGCCTGGGCGCTGTCCCTGAGCTCTTCAGCTCAAGGCTAGTGCTCTACCACTTGAGCCACAGCGCCACTTCCGGCTTTTTTTTTCTGCTTATGTGGTGCTGAGGAATCGAACCCAGGGCCTCATGCATGCAAGACAAGCACTCTACCACTGAGCTACCTTCCCAGCCCTCCTACCTAGTTTTGGTGTTAGACTCTGAGGTTCCCCAGTACTGCCAAAAACTAAAAAAGTAAAATAAAATAATAAAAATCAAAGTTCTGGGGGAAAAAAAAACTAATTGAGAAAAAGTGAACTTTATCATGATTTATTTCATTTTCTTGAGTCAGCGTCTCTCCCAGCCTAGCCTCCAAATTATATCCATTCAGCAGACTAGGGCCTCACTCTTGCTTGGCAGTCTACCACTTGAACCACACCTCTACTTCCAGCTTTTTGCTAGCTAATTGGACATAAAGGTCTCACAGACTTTCCTGCTCGGGCTGGCTTTGAACCAGGATCCTCAGAGCTCAACCCTCCAGAACAGCTAGGTGAGAGCCACCAGATTGATTGATCGAGTTAGTGTCTCACTAATTCTGCCAGTGCTGGCCTTGAACTCATGGTCTTGCTTCTGGCCTCGAGGCGGGATGACAGGAGTGCTGGGATTACAGGCATGAGCCACCCAGTCCCAAGAAACTAAAAAAGCAACAAAAGTTGCAATGGTTTGCCCTCGGAAAAGATGGTTTCGGAGACCTCACTTTCCGTACTGAGGCGATGACGCACGTGAACGCCGGCAGGGAGGTCACACGCTGACCTTAAGAAAGATGGCAGCCGCCTGGTTTCTCTGCCCTCTTCCAACATGGCGTCCAGATTCGCTGGGGCCCGAAGCCTCTTCCGGGCCGGGCAAGGGGGCGGGGTTCATTGAGGAAAGCCTTGCGTGCCTCCGCCCGCGACGGAGGCGCGCTTCAGGGCGCAGGCGCAGGCGCAGGGAGGGGTTGGGGGAGGAGGGAAAGCGGCGAGTAAGATGGAAGATGAGGAGGTCGCTGAGAGCTGGGAGGAGGCGGCAGACAGCGGGGTAAGGAGGAGCCGCCGCCCCGGGGCAGGGCCGGGCGGGATCTGGCGTGAGGGAAGCCTCCAGGGAGCGGGTCCGGGGATGATTTTTCCCGGGGAAGGGCCCCCCCCACACCGGGCCTGTGGTGGAGGGAAGGCCCCCGGTCCCGGAGCGCCGTGAAGGCCTCTTAAAGGGACAGCGTTCCATTTCTCCCACTACCTTTGCCCGGTGTGCCTCCCTCTACTCCTCCCCTCCCCCCGGGGTGCGCGTCACCCGGGGCGCCCACTCGTCACCCTTAGCCTCTTTCCCGGTCCCCACGCTCGAGGGACCTTCTTAAAGCTCATGTGGCCAGGAGGAGGAGCGACTCACCATGCCATGGCGGGCGGGGAGGAAGGCTTTGCGGGACTGGGGCAGCGTGCAGGGCTCCGGAGAGGAGATCGTGGAGGAGGCAGCCGAGGGGACGTGGGCTGAGGCGGAGGGCGGCATCGAGCCCTCTTGGGGCCGCTCCGCGCTGTTGGTCTTCCCAGCCCCGGCCTTTGCTCCTTCCGCCACGGTGGGCGAGTCTTGTTTTCCTCTTTCAGTTTTACTCCGAGAGCCTCTGGCAGGCGGGGCTCCCCCAAGCCCCGCGGGCAGCCCCTCTCCCTGGAGACTCCCCGAGCCCCACGATCCGCCGGAGGTGGGGAGAAGGTCTCGGAGTGTGCTGGTCCGGGAGGAGCGGCCCAGGGTGCGCCTGGAGAGGCGGCCGCATTCCCGGGAGGGACGTCTGGGGAACCTGGATTGTTGGGGTTGATTTCGGAGGCTTTTGTGTCTGTCTGTCTGTCTGGTTTTTGCCTCCAGCAGCTGTAGGAAAATAGATTCGCCCAAGTAGGAGCTGTCAGCCTTACTAGATTCGCGCGATGAACTTGGTCTTTTCCGAGGTGGTGGCCGTAGTGACCCTCGTGCGCACCGAGAGATGCCATTTTTGGTGCCTGGGTGTTGTTCTGTGCAGTGCTGGCTGGGTGACATCCGCCCACGAGGCGTCTTGCTGTGTGTGTGTGGCGCGGGGGGTGGGGGCGGTGGGACCAGGTAGAAATGGAGCTAGAGCTGGGTTCCCCCTCGCCCAGTGCCTTTGCATCACGCTCTGGGACAGTTGCCCCGCGCCGGGTGGGTATCTAATGGGATTGTTGAAATTTGGCTTCGAAATCCCGTCCCTCCTTCTCTCCCCCTCCACCCCCGCGCTACTTCAGCGTTTCTTGCACGATTTCTTCCCCCTCTGTTTCTCACTTAGCAGAGTTGAGTATCTGATTGTTTGGTTTCCAGGGTATTTAGTAGAGCTCTTAGATGCCTACTCGCTTGCTTGGATTTTGGCTCGAGTCAGGAAGGCAAGTTACAGATTTTATAGGGAGCAACAGGTGTCAGTCGGGTGTCTGTTCATTGAACCACTATTTTGGAACGTGTTTGAGCGTGTCCTAGGCATCGTACTTACCAGGGGGTTGAGCCAGAGAATGCAGTTACCAGTAGAGGCGTTTATTGCCTGCTACTAATAGTGACTCACCCAGACACCCCTCATGTCAGCCCCTAAAAAATAAAAAGGCTTGGCCTACAATTTGAGTGTGACTCACATAAAAAAGTTTCTGTGACACCTAGGCCTTTCTTTGGTTTTCTTTACTTGTTTTATTCTTTTTGTGTGTGCCAGTACTCAGGGACTTGTGCTCTCACTTAGCTTCTCTTCCCCCTCCCCCCCCCCACTATGGGGCTTGAACTCTGAGCTGTCCCTGAGCTTTTTCACTCAAGGCTAGCACTCTACCACTTTGAGCCACAGTGCCACTTCTGGGTTTCTGGTGGTTCACTGGAGATTTTCCTGCCTGGGCTGGCTTCTAACCTTGATCCTCAAATCTCAGCCTCCTGAGTAGCTGGGATTACAGGCATGAGCTACTGACCTCAACTCACTTAGCTTTTTTGTTCAAGGCTAGTGTTCTACCATGTGACCCACACCTCTGCTTGTGGCTTTTCTTTGCCAGTCCTGGGGCTTGAACTCAGGGCCTGGGTGCTGTCACTGATCTTTTGTACCCAAGGGTAGCACTCTTATCAGCCAAGCCACAGCTCCACTTCTGGTGTTTTTTGTGCTTAATTGGAGATAAGAGTCTCCTGGATTTTCCTGTCTGGGCTGGCTTGGAACGATGATGATCCTGGATCTCAGCCTCCTGAATAGCTAGGATTACAAGTGTGAGCCACTTAATTCTGGCTTTTTTGTTGATTAATTGGAGATAAGATTTTCTAGGGTTTGTCTGTCACGGGCTGGCTTCCAACTGAGACCCTCAGATCTCAGACTTCTGAGCAGTTAGGATTACAGGGAAGATCTAGCCCTCCAAACTTGTTTTAAAGAGGTGTTTGTTTCTCATCCATCTCAAAGAACTGGGAAGAAGGGGCTAGAGATGTAGCTCAGTGGACAGCACTTGCCTGGTACTTGCTAGGCCCGAGGTTCAGTCCTCAGCAACCTCAGCAATGACAGAGCCTTCTGTTATAAAGTAGAAGGAACAAAAATGGATATAGGACTCAGCAGAAATTGGAAATCTCCCTAGGTGTTTTTTTTTTTTTTGGGGGGTAGGGGTAGGTGGGGGAGTTCTTTGCACTCTTCTATTTTTCAGAATGTGGAAGTAACTTAGAGATCAGTTAGTCCAGTCCCTGATTTTACAGCTGAATAAACCCAAAGGTGTAAGGTGTAGCTTAGGTTTTTCTGATGCTGGTATAGTTTATTTCTTCTCTCTTCTACTTTAAAGAAACTCTTTTAAACTGCCAGGAGAGGTAGAACCCATACCTTACCTCATTGATATCATGAATAGTATCGTCTTGTACATGTTTTTTTTTTTTTTTGAGTCCGGTCGTGGGGTCTGAACTCTGGGCCTGGGCACTGTCCCTCAGCTCTTAAGCTCAAGGCAAGTGCTCTACCACTTTAGCCACAGCGCCACTTCTGGCTTTTTTTTTTTCTTCTGGTTATGTGGCGCTGAGGAATCAAACCCAGGGCCTCATGCATGCAAGGCAAAGGGCTACCACTGAGCCACCTTCCCAGCCCCTGTCTCGTACATGTTTTTAAAACTTTTTTGTGTGTGTTTTGGTCCTGGTGCTTGAACTCAGGATCCAAGAGCTGTCCCTGAGCTTTTTTCTTTTTTTCTTTTCTTTCTTTGTTTCTTTTTTCTTTTGGGGGTGTCCGTCCTCTGGTTTGAACTCAGGGCCTAGGCACTGTCCCTGAATTTTTATGCTCAAAGTTAGTGCTCTACCACTTTGAGCTACACATTGTATGCCTGTAATGGCATGAGCTATAGGGGCCTGGCAAGCTTTTTTTTTTCCCTCAAGGCTGGCACTCTACTTGAACCACAGCTCCACTTCCACCTTTTTGGTGGTTAAGTGGAGGAGATAAGAGTCTTATGGGCTTTCCTGCCTAGGCTGTCTTCAAACTGCAATCCTCAGATCTCAGCTTCCTCATAGCTAGGATCATAGACATGAGTGCCCTTTCTCTTTTTAGACAGGATCTCATGATTTTGCCTTGGCCAGGCTAAGTAACTGGATTAGTTACACACATTGTCCAGGGTTCTTCTGTTATCTTTAATTGAATTTTGAAACAAGCTGTTGGGCCATTTTACAAAGGAAACTGAGGTTTAGGAATAATTTATTTTGTGGCTTACTGTCACAGATAATAAGTAGGGAGCTGGAATTTAACTTAAGACTGGTTCCAAAGCTGGGCTCTGGTTCTTTCCCTACCATTTTGCCGGCCCCTTACCTGGGGACCTGTAGAAGACTTCAGAGTTGGACATTAGCTGCTTTTTTGTGTGTGTGTGCCAGTCTTGGGGCTTGAGCTCAGGCTGGCTATAGTCCCTGAGTTACTTTTGCTCAAGGCTAGCACTCTATCACTTGAGCTTTGGTTCTACTTCTGGCCTTTTTTCCTTTGTGGTTAATTGGAGACAAGAATTTTGGGGACTGGGAATGTGGCTCAGTGATAGAGTTCTTTCGTAGCATGCAGGAAAAGCTCTGGGTTGGATTCTGCGGTACCACATACACAGAAAAGGCTGGAAGTGGCACTGTGGCTCAAGTGGTAGAGTGCTTAGCCTTGGGCAAAAGAAGCTCAGGGACAGTGCCCAGCCCCTGAGTTCAAGCCCCAGGACTGGTGGCGCGCGCACACCCATGAATCGCAGACTTTCCTGCTCAGGCTGGCTTTGAATTGAAATCCTTAGATCTCAGCCTCCTAAGTAGCCAGGATTACAGGCATGAGTCATTGGCACTTGGCTAGCTTTTTCTTTTTAATTCTGGGTATCAGACCCATGCCATATGCATGCTAAACACACACTTTATCACCAAGCTACACCCCCAGCCCCTGGCTTTCATTTTAAATGTTTGCTTTGGTCACTTACTTGAAGGTTTTCTTGAATTTGATTTCTTTTTCAAGTTTCACAAAGGGTGAAAGGGAGGACCCAGGGATGTACTGAGCAACATGTCCACATTACTGTGTCCCCAACTGTTGACACGTGTCTTTCAGGGGTACACAGTTGCCCTTGTCTTCTTGCTGGTAATGAGAATCCCCCCTCCTTCACTCACCCCCCCCCAAAAAAAAGAAAGCCTGAGCAGATATGGAGAGATTAGTAAATGGGAGTTAACTAATTCTAAAAGTGAATATTCAAACTAAACTTTCCTATCTAAACTAGAAAACAGTGTGATCTCTGGGCATGATAGCACAGGCCTGTAATCCTAAAACTTGGGATATGGAAGCAGAAGGATCTTAAGTTCAAGGCCAGCTGGACTACAAAGACGTAGTTTCAAAAGCCAGAAAAACGGAGACTGGGAATGTGGCTTAGTGGTAGATTGCTTGCCTAGTATGCATGAAGCCCTGGGTTCAATTCCTCAGCACCACATAAACAGAATAAGCCAGAAGTGGTGCTGTAGCTCAATGGTAGAGTGCTAATGTTAGATTATTAGACTTTGCCAGGAAACCATGCAGACATCCAGGTACAGAGAACAAAGAAAGGTTTGTTGCCAGGAAAGGGGCCAGCAAG